GAGCCTGCGGCCAGTGGCGGGGGTGGGTTTTGCCGGCATTTACAGGCCCGCCAGAATGGCAAGCTACAGGTCGGCCCGTCCCGCCGGCCCGTTTTGACAGCTCTAATTTAAAGTGTGATTGTTTATTAATTCAATTAAAAAAAATCAATCAAAATTCAAATTTAACTTAACTTTAATCCAATTCAACTATCTCCATTATTACCAATATAATTAAATAATACCAACTAATCATTCTTACACATAACATCAACTTTAATTCACAAATAATCCACTCACATAATTTTAACTATCACTTCTCATCATTTTTCTCCTACTTTTACATCATAACAACTTTAATTATTTTATTTTAAATATTATTTTACTATATTCACTAACAATTAATTATACCACCTTTTTTTTCAAAATTAACTATAGTTAAAAAAAATAATTAAAAACTAGTTGAATTCATAAACAATCACACTTAAGGGGTAATAATTATAACACTATGGCAACATAAAAATTATATACGAAGAGCACACGAAATTATAGAACACCAAGCAGTTGGACAAATATAGGAACCCCTGGAATTCGAAAATATATACGAACAGCACATTGAATTACTGTTCAACGGGTGCAAGCACATAACTAAAAACAGTTATTAGTTGGACAAATATATGAACCCCTGCAATTGGAAAATATATACGAACATCACATTGAATTACTGTTCAACGGGTGCATGCACATAATAACTAAAAACAGTTTCTTATTATTTGGACAGACATATGAACCCCTGGATTGGATACATCCGTCGGTGGTTTAAATTCACAACGGACGTACAATAAGTCCACCCACGTTGATTTATGTTCACAATAAACGTACAGTAAGTAGTTAGGTACAATGAAAAGAGTGGACCTGAGAGCCACCGAGGATAAATCTTTGCAATAAACAAAAACACAAAATCAGTAGAGTTGGTTTGTATACACCAACATTAAGCTCGGGAACAAAAACACAAAGTTCAGCCTGGAGACTTGTTATTTTGTTTTCCGACGTCTTTGGGTTCCAACACATTGCGAGCAATACCATTTCCCTTTCGGTGGTTCTTTTAGCCCTACACAGCCGTAGTGGAACCACTCAATCTTGCACTGCCAAACCAAGAGAAGA